CCGCCCAAGATCATCGTGCACCCCCATCCCTGAACCCGAACACCCTGAACCCCAAACCACGGTTTAGGGTTCAGGGTTAGGGTTTAGGGGTTAGGGTTTAGGGGTTAGGCTTAGGGTTTAGGGTTGAGGCGTGAGGGTTTAGGGTCTAGGGTTTGCTACCCTCAGTGCCAGCTCCGCGCAGGCAGCCGCATGCTCATGGCCTGTGGCGCCATGTCACCGCTGGCGGCCTCAGACAAACTGCATCCTTTGGAGAGAGGTTTAGGGTTTAGGGTTTAGGGTTTGGGGTTCAGGGTTTAGGGTTTAGGGTTTAGGGCTTCGGTACACCCTTTAAACCCCATGCACCCTAGAGACCTCATAAACCCCATATACCCTATAAACCCGATAATCCCTAAAAACTCTATACACCCTCTACACCCTATACACCCTAAACACCCTAAACACCCTATAAACCTTAGAAAAACCTAAACTGACGGTTTCAAAGCCGGAAAGACAACCTCGGATTCGCAAAGTCACTAAACCCTAAACTTCGAACCCAATGCCACGATGTACCCCAAAATCCTCCCCCTGCCCCCACCCTACAACCCAGACGCCTGCCAAATCTCCTCAAGCCGTTAGCCACTCCTCCCCCAAACATCCAAGCCCAAGCCCCAAAACTCCCCCAAATCCCGAAGCCTCCCCCAAAAAACTCCCCTAAACCTATAAACCCTAAACCCTACACCCTACACCCTAAACCCTAAACCCTAAACCCTAAACACCCAACCCAAGGAGGCCGCGGTCCTCCCCTGCCAAGCCCGGCGCGGGCGCGAGGCGGCGTGGCTCGGCCACGGAGCGGTCAAGCACCCCTCGCGCGTAGGGTTTAGGGTTTAGGGTTTAGGGTTTAGGGTTTAGGGTTTAGGGTTTAGGGTTTAGGGTTTAGGGTTTAGGGTTTCAGGGAGGTTCGGGGGTATAGGGCTTCGGAGACTTTAGGGTTCAGGGTGTTCGTCAGGAGTGTAGGGTTTAGGGGGCTTCCTCAAGAAGGCCTCAAGACACTTTCGGCGCGCCTGCCGCAAGACGCGAAGGGCGCCTGGCCTGGGGGGGGTGCTCCCGTTGGGCCATAGATGCCGGGGGGCTTGGGGCCCAAAGGCAGCCCCAATCAAATCCCTAAACCCTAAACCCCAAACCCTAAACCCTAAACCCCAAGCCCCCAAGCCCCCAAAGTAGGTCTAGGAGAGGCATGGCAAAGCCAGCCCCAGCAACACGCCACTTCCACCTTTCCCGGCTTCCCGAAAAAGCTCGCTGCAGCTCTGCTTTGCTTTGGGGTTTGTTTTCTTTTTTTGTTTGAGGGTTTAGGCCATAAACCTTAAACCCTAAACCCTAAACGCTTTAGACCTTAGGGTTTCCTGAGTTAAGGTTTAGGCTCTGTGGGTTTGGAGGTGTTGGGCTGAGGAATTGAGGGCTTAGGGTTTTTATAGGGGTTTCCGGGGGCTGGGCATTGAGCTTACCAAGAGTAACCTGCATGCCCTTGAGAAAGGGAATCATGTCTTAGTACTTCTGCGTCGGTATAGCTATGATTCCGAAGTTCCCCAAGCCATTGCACCCCATGTCATGAAACTCTTCGGTAAACAACAAGAAGCAAGGTTTGGGGTTCTGAGGGCTTTGGCAGAAGGACCTCTAAACCAACAACCCCTTAAATGCCGGGCACATACCAAGACCATATCAATTGTCACCAGGACGATATTGGGGGTAGTAAGATCCAAGGACCAGGAGGGAAAGAGTTCCCGTCATGATGGTACCGTCTTAACGTTGGCCCTTATCGGTTCCTTACTTTTTTTCTTCTGTCTTAAGCACGACAAACAAGACGAGTAGACACCTAGATATTTGCTGCGGCTCTTTCAACCTTGCATACCAGTATTAATTCAGTATTGTTCGAAGTATAAAAATGAAAAGACAACATTAGTAATTTTGTGAGTCTCGTTTGCAATGACAGCTGTTTCAGGTACATGGGGGTCTGTGGAAGCTCTCCCACCTTCGCAAATGGCTTCCCCCGCCCTGTGCACAACGCTTCACAATACTAGTAGCAATCCAATCCGGCGCCCCTTCCGTTTCGCCTTGCCTCATAAGTAGCCCATAGAACAATTATGCTTTGTACGTTCCTTACCCCAGCCCTACTCCAAGTACGACTCTGATGTCTACTTGAAGCATATTCGGACCCGAAACCGCCATTTCTGAGGGGGTCACGCCAGTTTAGGGATTTGCGTTTCTGGGCTCAGGGTTTATGGCTGAGGCTTTCGGGTTTAGGGTAACAGCAAACGGCACTCTTCGTCACTGCCGCGCTCAGCTGTTCAATCAGAATGGAAAGGGCCAATAGGATCCTCGCCTGTGAAGCGTAGCTGTGCCCTGATCTCAGCAACTCATGCTCCCCAAGCCCTAGTGACCCCTAAACCCTAAACCCTGAACCCTGAACCCTGAACCCTAAACCCTAAACCCGAAACCCGAAACCCTAAACCAACCTTCTAGTATTTAGGGCGATGGCCCCGAGTTTAGGGTTTTTTGGGTGGCAAGGTTACCGGGGCAACCCTGCCCTTTTGAAGAAGGTCCCTAGACCCGAGGTTTAGGCTTTAGGACTTAGGGTTTAGGGGTCAGTGTTTAGAGTTCAGCGTTCAGGGTTTAGGATTTAGGGTTCAGGGTTTAGGGTTTAGGGTTAGGCCCATCCAGTAAATCAAGGCAGGCTTGCTTCTGAAGCAGACTGGAACCGTTTCTCCATAACGCCCTAAGCCCTCCAAATCTTCAAACAGAAGACCCAAACCCAGCCCTAGCGTGGTTTAGGGGGTTTGGGGTTTAGGGTTTAGGGTTGAGGGTTGAGGGTTTGCAAGATTTAGGGGTTTATAGAGTGTGTGGGGCTTGCGGGTTCATATCCAAGGGAAGTTAAACGTTCCCTTACTATGGCCGCTTACCTCTGGGCTTATAGGGTTATAGGGCTTACGGATTAAATCCAAGGGCGAACCCTGAACCCTAAACCCTAAACCCTAAACCCTAAACCCTAAACCCTAAACCCTAAACCCTAAACCCTAAACCCTAAACCTAAACCTTAGACCCTTAATATGGCCCCATACCTTCTCCAAAGCGTCCTGAAGTATGGGCCCTTCGGTTTCAATAGGGTACATAAAGGACATGTACGGGTTTCCTTAATCAGGGGCCCGTATCAAGGGAGCATGTAGTAAGAAATAAGCAGATAACCCTAAACCCTAAACCCTAAACCCTAAACCCTAAACCCTAAACCCTAAACCCTAAACCCTAAACCCTAAAGCCTAAACCCTAAACCCTAAACCCTAAACCCTAAACCCTAAACCCTAAACCCTAAACCCTAAACCCTAAACCCTAAACCCTAAACCCTAAACCCTAAACCCTAACCCAAACCCCTCAGTTGGCCCAACATAGGCGCCTGTTTACTCAGTCCTCAAGCCTTGCACCTTTCTCCCTACACCCTACACCCCTTCAACCCGAAAAACCGAGATAATTACCCTAAACATCCGAAACCCTAACCCTAACCTAAACCCTTAAACTGAAAAAGCGAAGTACCCTAAATATCCGAAACCCCTAAACCCTAAACCCTAAGCCCCAAATTTCCGAAACACGAACCCTCTTTTGTCGACCCGGCCTCACCATCCTCCACGGATCCATACGCGTCGCACCAAACTCCCACCACACACTTCCTTAGGGTTTAGGGTTTAGGGTTTTGGGTTTGGGGTTTGGGGTTTAGGGTTTAGGGTTTAGGCTTTAGGGTTTAGGCTTTAGGGTAAACCTTCAACCCTAAGCCCGAGAAGAATTCAAGCCTAAAGCCGGACAAAAAGAACCCAAAAGAGTCCTATAGGACCCTAGGACCCTACCGAACCCTCCTCCACAAATCCAAGGCAGAACCTTCTACCCCCTGAACACTAAATCTTGATGTTGGGATGTTCATCTTGAAACTACCAGTCCTTATAGTACCCCCTATTATAGTGCCTAATACAGACTCTTCGTATGAGGGGGAACATCCCAATCTTGATGCCCTAAAACCCCAAAACCCTATGGAAGGTTCTAAGCCCCAAAGCCCGAAAGACCTTGAAGCCCTAAAGCCCCAAAACCCCAAACCCTCAACCCTAAACCCAAAACGTTAAACCCTAAACGGCCCTAAACCTTGGGCCCTTGGCCCTTGAAGCCCCAAAAGCCCCAAAACCCCACCAATTAGGCTCGCGACGCACCTGTCGCCGACTTACCTTGAAGTTTTCGGGAGCTCGGGTCTTGAAGTGTGCTATAATAGGGTTTAGGGTTTAGGGTTTAGGGGCCTTCTTATTAACTTTAACTAGAATGAGGTTTGGGGGGGGGGGTTCTTATAGTGTCTTGATAAAGGGGCCATATGGGAATAGTATTTGTAATCATTCCGAGGGAACTATATTGAATGGTTTTGCGATGTTTTTTTGCGGGCTTTCGGGTTTTAGAGGTAGCCGTGCTCTTGTTTGGGGGTTTTGTTTGTTTTTTTTTTTTTTTTTGTTTTGGGGAGGAGAGTGAGGAGGGGTTAGAAGTTAGGGGGTTATCGGCCGGCGGGGTTTAGCTTCTTGGTGTTAGTTGATGGGCGGGGGGGGGGGGGGGGGGGGGGGGGGATGAGTGTGTAGCGCTTTAGAACAGCGATAGTCTGTCGGGTCTAGCGAGGTAACGCTGACAATGTCCTTAACACTCTACGTAGAAAGGAAGCTTTCGGGGTTGAGACTTCAGTGGTTGAGGGGATTCAAGGTAGGCGGGTGTAGGGCTGGTGGGAGCCCGGGTTGTGAGGATTTGAACTTCAAGAGCTTGGTGGCTTAGGCGTTTAGGGTTTGACTTGAAGTCTATGGACATCGTGGGTTCGGGTGTAGGGCAAGTTTAGGGGGCTAGGGACAAAAGAAGGGCTTCGGGATGAACTAGACTAAGTCCCCCATTCCCTACTAAGAACCAGTTTTGTTTTTTCATCTGTCGCCCGACCCTGTGAGCACTGCAGGTCGGATCTAATGCTTCCGGCGCACGTCCGGACCCTGGCAGCGGATTCCCCGCAACACGAGGAGGAGGGTGGGCAGTGCCCCTCTTCCCATTTCCAGGAGGCGGATCCCTTGTAAACCCCGCCTCCAAAGCCCTACACCCAAAGCCCTAAACTCCACCAAGGGTACCGAAGTGTTGCTTCGGGATTTTGGGGAACCTAGTGGAGAGAAGTCCGTGGTTCAGGTTTAGGGCGGATAGGCCGAGGTAGAGTTAAGCCCTAAGCCCTGAACCCTAAACCCTCAGAAGGTTCTTATTCTTAGCTGTCTTAGCTAACCTACGTGCTCCAAAGACAAAGAAATGCCCATAGGGGAGCAGTGTGAGAGAACATGTAGCCCTAAACCCCAAGCTTTAAAATAACCGAGCTCCAAGCTTGTTGGGTTTCCTCGTTCTGAACAAATACATGCACACACACACATGCGCAGAGCTACCTGAGTACTCGAATGATGCATGTATGTTGACTTTACCTACTTCATGTATGTTGACTTTACCTACTTCATCTTCACACGCATAGAATACAGCTTCAGAGTTTTGTCTATAGTGCCTGTTGTTGGAGATGCTGGGATCAGCGCGAGCCTACTGCCCCTGTGCTCCGGTCAGTTCGCCTCGCACACCCGAAAGAGCAGCGCAGCCACAAGACCCGAAACCCTAGACCCAAAAAGCAAAAACCCTAAACCCTAAACCCTAAACCCTAAACCCTAAACCCTAAAACCCCAAATCCTAACCCCTAATTGCGCCCTAACCCCTTGACCCGAAACCCCAAAATCCCAAAACCATTACCATGAACGACCTGAAGCTTAAACCCCAAAACCTCCCCCACCCCCCACCCCAAGCCTCAAGCCCTAAGCGCCTACAAGTCAGCCCTCTGAATACCGTAAGCCCCAAACCCTAAACCCCAAACCCCAAACCCTAAACCCTAAACCCTAAACCCCCCCCACCACCCCTCCCCAACTCCAGCCATGGCTGACGATGTTCTCGTCGACTCGGTGGAAGCGCTGGAGACTTTGGTGCAGGACTGTCGCCCCCAGGAGCAGCAGCTTGCCTGGGCTTAGGGGTTTAGGGTTTAGGGTTTTGGGTTTTGGGTTTTGGGTTTTAGGGTTTAGTGATTTTTGGTGTAGCAGTTTGGGTTTAAGGTTAAGGGCTTAGGCTTTGGGTTTTGAGAGTTTGGGCGTAGGTTTAGGACTTTAGGTTTTAGGGTTTAGCGTTTGGGGCACAGCTTTTTTTAGGTTTTCCCAATTCTTCAAAGTCGCAAGTACCCGTAAGAATCGGGAAGATGAACGGTAGTCTTTGGGAACCCTGAACCCCGAGCCCCAGCAGGGTAGTCAGGCCTGCACATACGAAGCGCTGAGCTCAGAATCCAGCCTGAAAGCACCTGGTTTGGGGGTTTTAGCGTTTTCGGCCAAACTGGGGGCTAAACCCTATTGCCTATAAGCCCCTGACCCCAAACCCCTAAGCCCCAAACCCTCCAAACCCTGGAAAGCCTCGGGGCTGTGAGGCTGCGTAGTTTCTGGGTTCGGTTGTCTCTTGACATCGAAGAACTCCTTGTATACGCCGATTGGAGTCTGGAGAGTTGTTGTGGCGCTTGCGGCAAATGTGGTCAAGCAAGTTGCATTTTCGCTCGTTTTCATCTAGGGTTCAGGGATCTTGGAGCCCTATAAGGTGCGCTTCGTAGGGTTTGGGGTTTGGGGTTTGGGGTTTAGGGTTTAGGGTTTAGGGCATGGTGTGTGGGGCCCAGGTATACCTTCATCATGGAAGCCATGTGTGGCCCTTTGCCAGAGCTGGTCAAGACCAAGGCCGCGTCGAGATGAAGAGAAGCCTCGAGGGTTTAGGGTTTAGGGTTTAGGGTTTGGGGTTTAGGGTTTAGGGTTTAGGGTTTAGGGTTCAGTGCACCCTGAACCCTTCTGACCTCCAATCCCGAGACTCCCAAACCCAACGTTCTGAACCCCCAAAGCCCCAAACCCCGCAAATTCGGGACCCAACAAACCCTAAACCCTAAACCCCAACCCCTAAACCCCAACCCCCAAACCCCAAACCCTAAACCCTAAACCCCAAACCCTAAGCCCTAAACCCTCAAACCCCCAAGCCCGAGTCCCAACAGCAAACAATGTCGAGCCAGAGTTTCCAGGTGTGAAGAGGGTACAAGGATGTTCGGGGAAGTCCCATGCTTCGCACTCACACCCTAAACCCTAAACCCTAAACCCTAAACCCTAAACCCTAAACCCTAAACCCTAAACCCTAAACCCTAAACCCTAAACCCTAAACCCTAAACCCTAAAACCCTAAACCCTAAACCCAAACCCTAAACCCTAAACCCTAAACCCTAAACCCTAAACCCTAAACCCTAAACCCTAACCCCTACCCTAAACCCTAAACCCTAAACCCTAAACCCTAAACCCTAAACCCTAAACCCTAACCCTAAACCCTAAACCCTATGCCTGGAGGCCATAGAGAAGCTAAGAGATGCCATTGTGGGGATCAAGGCGGAGAAGCGGCTGCTGGGACCCGGTCGAACCACCAAGAGGTTTAGGGTTTAGGGTTTAGGGTTTGGTGCTTAGGGCTTAGGGTTTAGGGTTTATGGTTTAGGGCTAAGTGTTATCCCGATTAAGGACTGGTAGTAAAAGGGGGCCAGAAAAACCGTGCCCTGGCCACAATGCGCCAGATATATGGGCCCTTAATAATGGGTTTATATGAGGGGCCCCTTCTAAGGGCCCATACTAGGGGACGATGCAACTACCCTAAGAAGCACAGCCCCCCCCCCCCCAAGGCACATGTACCTCAGCTAAACCCTAAACCCTAAACCCTAAACCCTAAATTTAAGAGCCTCCGGCTCAAGCCGACCCCGTGGAGCATAGTTGAAAGGTTTAAACGCGCTCGTCAGCTCAAAGGATGCCAAAAGTTGATTTGCTTGAGCCTCTGTGAAACGTTGGGGGGGGGGGTAGGGGGTAGCACCACAGGACCGAACCCCCCCCCCCCCCTACCCCGCCCCCCCCCCCCACCCCCCCCCCCCCCCCCCTCACCCCCCCCCCCCCTACCCCCCCCCCCCCCCCACCCCCCCCCCCCGTTTTGGGGGTAAGGAGGGAAAGAGCTCCTTTTCCCATCCAACACGCCGCCAGGGTCGGCGGACCCTAAACCCTAAACCCTAAACCCTAAACCCTAAACCCTAAACCCTAAACCCTAAACCCTACCGGGGGAACCCCCAGAAGGAACTTGTTTGGATATCCACAGGATCTCTGGATATTGCAATAGACCCCCAAAAAAATCCAAGAAATGGCATAGTTGCTGAGGTTGCTTCTGCTGTAATCACGCAAAATGAAGCTTGGGAGGCTCAATGGGGTTTATAGTCTGACGAGAAGGGGTTGAAGCTCCTAGATCCCATGCAATGGGCATGTGCTTGGAAAACCACAAAAACATTGATGGGGGCAGCCGGCGCAGCAATTCTGCTCAATATGATTCGTATGAATATCTCTTTCTGGAGATCGACGCGGTTTAGGGTTTAGGGTTGAATTAAAGGGTTTAGGGTTTAGGGTTTATAGGGTCTATAGGGTTGATAGGGTTTATACGGTTTATAGGTTTAGGGTTTATAGGGTTTATATATAGGGTTTATATCGGGTTTATAGGGTTTATAGGTTTTTATAGGGTTTATATAGGGTTTATATAGGGTTTATAGGGTTTAGGGTTTCGGGTGAAAGTGCTTAGGGTTTATAAGTTGTAAGTCAGTCTTGAAAGTGATAAGGGAGTATAGGGTTAAAAACTGTTTTGGTGTCAGTTTTGAGCCCAGCAGACCATATGCTACACAGCTACCGACAGGGGCAAGTGGAATCCAAAAAAAGCCGTGAAAACCCCAAAAAAACCCAGAAAAAACCCAAAAAAAGGCAGACTCCAAAAACACAGGGCAAACCCAAAAAAAAGCGTAAAGCGTAGCAACTCCGTAAAAACCCGTGCGATCCCCAAAAAAAGGCGTGCAAAACCCGTAACCGAAATCCAAAAAAACCCGAAAAAACTCCAAAAAATGCCGTGCACCCGACGCCGAAAAATCTTACCATTCTGAGCTCAAGTTTTGTGTCTCACCGCTCTTTGGGAGATGAACCCGCCCGCCACGGCTTTGAATTCCGCCCTCAGTGAACTTTACACGTCGGACATGTGGCTTCCGTCAGAGCAGGCATCCAGAGTTGCACAGCTCGGTCTTCATTTTCTCAGGCCTTCGTCACCTAACAAGAATACTTTGGATGCAAAACTTGCCGTGCCACGGTTTGCATTGTTCCCAAAGCACCATATGGTGTTTCATGCACTCCAGGGCTTGCTTTTTGCATCAATACAGTTTCAATCCTGTCTGTGAGGACAGGACGAGGATTTTGTAGGGCGAATCAGCCGTGCAACGAGGAAGGCGGAACTCGTGCTGTGATATCAGCCTCGCTTCGGCGGTATTTGGTACGTTGCCACGCCGTTTGGAGGCATGAGCTGTATTAGGCGACGGCAAGAGATGGAAAGAGTCTGAACGTTTGCATTTACACCTAGGTGTGTGAATTCCTAGATTTTTCCAGAATCTCTAGGTTTTTACCAATGGTTTGGCTTTTGGTGAAATATCTGGGTTTTTAGGCTTACTCTGAGAAATTCTCGACCCAGGGCTCCCCTGGTAACCCTAAACCCTAAACCCTAAACCCTAAACCCCCCAAGGTACATGTACCTCAGCTCCTGCCTGCCCATCGTCCTCAAGCGCTTCGCCAACTGCGAGGGGCCCTTCGACGCTTCCAAGCAGGATGACTTCATCGAGCGCCTGAGCGCCCTGCAGGCGCGCTGAAGGAGGGGGTGAGGGGGGGGGGGGGGTTTGGCGCCGAAACCCTGAACCTTCTAAACCCTAATTTATAAACCCTAAACCCTAACCCCTAAACCCCAAACCCCAAACCCTAAACCCTAACCCCTAAACCCCAAACCCTAAACCCTAAAAACCCTAAAACCCTAAAACCCTAAGAACCCTAAACCCAAATCCCTAC